TGCCGGGGCTCTGAACCGCCAGGCCCAGAGGTGCCGGGGCTCTGAACTGCCAGGCCCAGAGGTGCTGGGGCTCTGAACCGCCAGGCCCAGCTGGGGTCTGTGCAATTCCTGGGGCAATGGGAGCCCTGATCTCAGTCAGGGTCTGTATAGTGCCCAGCACAATGGGGCCCTGACTTCCTTTGGTGCGTCGATGTGCCACTACAATGCAAATCACCATTCGCTACCTGCTTCATAGCAGTTCTGGGAGGGTTAACGAATGTCCGAAAAGTGCTTTGAACGTACAACCCCCTATCGAAATGCGAAGCCCAGCAGATCTCAAACTGTGTTCTGCGAAGGCCTCGTGGTCTGTGGGCAGATGGCTGGGCACAAGGTGCTGGCTGCTGTAATACTTGCTCCGGATGCTAGATTGTGCCAACAGACAGCTAGAATAAAACCTGTGCCCGCTCTGTATCTCTCCCAGAACGCCCCGTCACTGAGATTCACTGAGTGCCCAGGGGCTACTGTCGCTATGGCCCTGCCAAAGGGAAGGTTGCGGCGCTGCCTGGCTGTCTGCCGCTGCTTAACTGGCCCCATCATGGCAGACCCTGAGTGCCTCACAAGCCTCAATGAACGTAACCTCACATCACCCATGGGGGAGCAGCATTATTAGCCCGGCTTTAAAGGGTAGTGAGGTCTAGTGAACAGAGTCCCATCTCTGCCACTGACCTGCTGCGTGACCTTGGGCAAGTCATCTCCACTCTTGGTGCCTTGGGTTCTCTTCCCACCCTTTGCCTGTCTAGTCTCAACCGGGAACTGTTTGGGGGCAGGGACTGCCTCTCACTATGCGTCTGTGCAGCATCCGGCATGATGGTGCCGTGATCTTAGTGGGGCTTCTAGGCACTACCCTACTATAAATAATAATACCCACAGTGTAACAGATGGGGAAACTGAGGTGCAGAAAGGTCAGGGCTTGCATTTTGGAAAGGGACAAGTGATCTGGAGCGGGAGGAGTCTGAATTCATGACGGGAGCTGGATTTTCAGTTTGGGGGGGCTCAGACTCAAAGCCATTAGTCACAGCTGAAAACTAAGACCCATGTGTCTTTAAGGGTCACACAGGGAGACTGTGATAGCCTCAGAAATTGAATCCAGCTCCCCTGAGCCCGTCCAGTGCCTTAATCACACAGCCACTGCCACACAACGCGCCCTCTGCACTACAGAGCACGTCCTGTTTGATTAAATCGATCAGCAGCCCATGGAATCGGTGCATAACAACGAAGAGTACAGCGAGCACTGAACGCAGAGCAGAACGCCTCAGCACCCTGAGCAGCACAGATTTCATTTACAGAAAGGCTCCAGGTCATTAACAGGGAATAAATGATGCATTCCCGCCACCAGCTTATGTCAATTGCATGATGGTTTATTGCCTGTGCTCCACACGAAGCTTCAGAATAAAGGAGAATTTTTTAACCTCTTCAAAGTAATGGTGATTCATTCCCTATTGATTGAATAAAACAGGAATTACTGTTTATTTAATGAGCTTCTCTTAGGGTTCCTACTTCTTCCAGCTGTAGAACTGCTTTTTCTTTTTCATTTTTAATTAACTAACGGGGAACTCAAATGCATCCAATATATTATTGTTTGGATAAAGGTAGGGCCTACAGACCATAACCAAGATCAGGACCCCAGACTGAGATCGGGGCCCCATTGTACCAGGCGTTGCATAGTCCCTACCTGAGAGTGGGGCCCCATTGTGCCAGGCGCTGCACACAGTCCTTCCCTGAGATCAGTGCCCCATTGTGCCAGGCACTGCACAGATATACAGGGATACACAGTCCCTGCCTGAAAGAGCTCACAGTGTAACCAGTGTAAATTCCCATTTTACAGCTGGGGAACCTGATGCCCAGTGAGAGGAAGTGACCAACCCAAAAATCACAGGGAGTAAATGGCAGAGCCAGAATTGAACCCAGATCACATAGCCCTGAGCCAGTGCCTTGTACCCATGATCTGTGTAAGCATTTTACCTCTACCTCCATAGCTTATCAGAGGGTTTTGTACCAGTGGCCTGGATCACACTTTTAGCACTGCAGCACAGACCTCTCTCTATCTCTTGAGCTAAAGGAATAATTCCATTAGCTGTCAGGAGTAGTAGGTTGTTATCCTTTAAATGGCTCTGTTGCTGCCATTGCTATATGAATGAGATGTGACCAGGAATGAGGCAGGAGGTGAGCTCCAGGGGAGATCAGGAATGAGGCTGACAGAGATGGTAGAGCATCAGACAACAACAAGCTTCTTTGGAGTTGGATCGCAAAGAGGCTACACATGAGGAAACCAGACTGCATGGGAAGGAATGTAACAGGTTGGCACACTGCTGCTGTGGATCCAGCTGGGGAATGGCAAGTGAGCTTTCTCAACTCACTGAGGCTAGGAGGCACTACCCACCCAGATTCAAGACAAGTAGGAGCAGGGTGTCTGGGGAGGGAGCACCTAGAGTGTGGGCTGAGCAGTCCTGAGGTAGAATCCCAGGTGAGTCCAGCCTGGGGAAAAGTCTTGGGCTGGATTCCTGTTGGGAATAAAGGACACCCCCCGCCCCTGTAAGTGAGGTATTCTGGGTGCAAGTGGAGCAGCCACATGGTCACCTCCCAGGTTAAATGCTGCCCAAAACCTGGTCTGGATCCAGCCTAGGCCTATGAAGAAATCACTCTGAACCTTGTCCCTAAACTGGGCTGGGAAAGTGTGAACAGGCCCAAAACCTGGACTGGAGTTAGTGTGAGACTGGAAGGGACTCAGTCTAAACATGGTCCCAAAACTGAACAAGAACTAGTGAGAGTCTGGATTAGGCCCAAATCTGGACTAGATCCAGAGCAAGACTGGGGCAGATTCAAGGTAAACCCTGTCCCCAAACCAGCATTAGCCTAGGTTAGGCCCAAAACCCATCCTGGTCCAGTATGATCCTGGGGGACCCCAGGCACAACATCTTACCTGTGGCCTCCACCATCCCTTCCAAAATGACGACAATCTCAAACTCGTCCTTCGCCAGCTGTTCCTTGGAGACCTCCCAGAAGGGGCTGTGCTCATTGATCTCGTGGCTGATGATGAGGGGCGAGACCAGGAAGAGGCGGTCGTCGCCCGTCTCGAAGCCCACGTTGATGTCCGTCTGGTTGAGGGGGATAAACTCCCCCTCGTGGGTCTGCTTGGACTTGATCAGCTTGGCCCGGATGGAGGCCTCCACAATGTGGGAGCTGCGCAGGTCCCCGACCCGGAACATGAGGCACAGGCGGTCGTCGCGCAATGAGACCACGGCGTGGGAGGAGAAGACGAGGGTCTCAGCCCGCTTGTTGGGCTGGGAGATCTTGACGAACATGCAGCCCACCATGAAGGCGTTGACCATGGAGCCCAGGATGGCCTGCAGCAGCAGGAGGATGATGCCCTCGGGACACTTGTCTGTAATGACCCGGTGACCGTAGCCAATGGTGGTCTCCGTCTCAATGGAGAAGAGGAAGGCCGAGACGAACCCATTGAGGTTGTTGACACAGGGCGTCCAGGTGTGGTCCTCCAGGTGGTCCAGGTCGCCACGGCAATAGGCAATGAACCACCAGATGAGGCCGAAGAAGAGCCAGGTGATGGCGTAGGCCAGGGTGAAGACCAACAGGCTGAAGCGCCACTTGAGGTCCACCAGGGTGGTGAAGATGTCCGTGAGGTAGCGGTAGGTCTCCCGCACGTTGCCGTGCTGCACGTTGCACTTGCCACCCTTCTCCACGTACCGCTGGCGCCTTTTCTTCTTCTCAGCCTTCTCCCGCTCGTTCTCCCTGCGGAGCCGCGCTGAGGCCTTGGACGGGCGGGAGCAGAGCGGGGGCTTCGCCTCACACACCGGAGTCTCGGGGATGGTGGAGAAGCCAGAGTTCTCCTTCGCCATCTTAGCACCCTGGAGACTAGCTGCCCCGGCCAAGCTCCTTAGAGTCTGAGGGAGCAAGCAAGACACTGGGGATAAACAGATGCACCCCCACCTTTCACAGTAAGGACACTTAACCCTTACAGCGCCGAGGACTTACAGATCCACCTCCAGTGCTCCCTCTACCCCCCACTACGGTGTCCCAGCTCTTCGATCAACTCTTGATTATCTCCCTGGTGACCCCTAACTCCCCTTAACTCCCCAAGCCTGCCCTCAACTCCTGATTGCTCCCCTAGTGCCCCCCAACTTCCCTCAATCCCAGACCCAACCCTGACAGCCCCCCAACTCCCCTCAACCCCCAAGACCCAACCCCAACTCCTGATTGCTCTCCTGGATGTTCTCCAACGCTCCTCAACAATCCTAGATCCAACCCCAACTTCTGACTGCCCCCAGCGACCCCCAATTCCTCTCAAACCCCCCCAGGCCTGCCCCCAACTCCTGATTGCTCCCCTGGTGCCCCCCAACTCCCCTCAACCCCAGACCTACCCCCAACCCCTGCTTGCCCCCAGTGACCCCAACTCCACATAACCACCCTTCCAGGTCCACCCCCAATTCCTGATTGTCTCCATGGTGCCCCCAACTCCCCATAGCCCCCTAAATCCCTCCTAACTTCTGATTTTGCCTTCTATCCCCCACCCAAAATACAGCCCCTCAGAGCCCCAACCTGGCTCCCGCTCCCCTTCCATGGGCCTGGCTTCCTGCCAGCTCCCTTCCCTGAGCTGCCCCCACAATTGCCCTGTGCCACCCCTCCTGTGCTATGGGCTGCCAGCATGGCTCAGTGGTGAGGGCCCCAGCTCTGCCACCGATTGGCTGCCTGGCCTTGGGCAAAGTCCCCGTGCCTCAGTTTCCCCCTTCCCTCTGTGCAACGGAGGGTGATAGCACTCATCCTGCTGCGCAGGCTGCTCTGGGGTGGAGGGAGGAGTGAGTAGAGCAGAGACATTAGCAGAGCTGACGCTGCACAGAGCCTTGACAGGAGGGAAGACGCCAGTGGCAGTCCCCACCTGCCCCTCCCCAGCGCCCGTGGCTGTGCTGGCTAACGTACTGGGGAGCTCCCCATGGCATTGTTCAGCAAGCAGACTAGCAGGGGGTGGGGTTCCAGCTTAGGATCCTCTAGCGCTGTCTGCAGAGCAGAGGCACACGTCATTTACCCAGTTACCCCACCTCCCTTCTGAAGGGAGTGAGACTGGAGCCCTCTCTCCACAGATCAGAGACAGCAGGGCTGGCGCAAGGGTGATCTCCTCTCGGACTGGGAGAGAGCAGCTCCAGGGCCCCTGGAGTCCTGCTTCCTGGAGCACCCCCCCCCCGGCAGCGCTCAGAAGAGGGGGTCATTTATCACAGCATCTTCTGGGATGTGGATACGGATCAAAATGCAACGCTGATGTAAAGAGGCTCCAGTGCATGGCGCCTCCCATCACCCAGCTCTGGGGACTGAACTGAGACCTACAAGCTCATTGCACTGAGCGCATGGAGCAGCCGTGCGGCGCAGCTGACTTTCAGTCATTAGAGAGCACGTAAACCACTGACTGAAGCTGCCGTGGCGTGTGTCCACTGGGATTGGGCCCAAAATGTAGCTATTGTAAAGGGGGGAGGGGATGAGCTTTAATGAGCTAGATTTTGGGGATCCAGTTTTAGTCACTTCACAGGCAAAACTCCTGTTCAGCTACAGGGATTTTAAAAACAAACAAACAAACAAACAAACAAACCCTGCATCAGAAGTGGATAAAAACTTCAGGATTTAGCTCAGCCCAAACAGACATGTGAGACCCACAGCACAGCATCTCTGGGCCCTGTGCCATAGAACCAGGATGTGAAACTGACCAGAAAGAAAGCCGTGAAACTGACTAGGATGCCCGGAGCTGAGTGACCTGCAGCAAATCAACCAAACAACATCCAGAGCGAACAGTGGACTCCTCATTCTTACATCGCGCTTTTCACCAGTAGTTACAAGGCACTTTACAGAAGAGGTCAGTATCGTTATCCTCATTTTACAGATGGGGAAACTGAGTCACAGTGAGGCCAAGTGGCTTGTCCAAGGTCACTGAGCAAGCCAGTGACAGAGCCAGGAATAAAGTAAATATCTCCAGAGGGTCCGTCTAGAGCTCTGTCCACTAGCCACACTGGGTGCAAGGTGGGGGAAATTAAGACCTTTCCGTTTTAGTGACTGCAGAGGTCAGTAACACAGTGGTGATGTTTGGGTCCCTCTGAACTGCTGCTTAACAACCCCCACACTTGCTCCCTGTAACACACTGATCCCCCCATTTTCCTACACAGCATCCCTCCCCTGCGCCTTCCCCCTGCTGCCTGTAGCACAATGGCCCCTCTCACTGCACTGGGATCAGCAGGGACTCAGAGGGGAGGGTGCCTCCTACTGTATCACCAGCACCAATTCCTGCAGTTCCTGAGTTTTTCCAGCCGTCTCCCCTCCACACAGTGACAAGGCTGCTTAGCTGGAGAGCTAACAAGGCCACAGCTGGAGGGATCTTTCCGGGGTCCCGTGAGCCTCACTGAAACTCTTCATATGCCTGGGTGGAGGAAGCTGAAGACTCAGGGGGGACGGACAAGCCCAAGTAGCTGGGCTACATGGGGGAGGGGGTTATCAGCTGCGCATCCAGGTCCAGAGCCCTCCCATCCCCCCCCAAATCACAGCTCAGGCACCTTCCCTGTCTCTCCTCACCTGGCTGAGTGCCTCATCGAGCTGCTGCGGCAGGACTCCCTTCAGCCCCAGGGAGCTGAGAGCAGCAGTGGGAGGGGGTGAGGAGAAGGGAGGATGACAACCTCTCTGCAGGGAGGGAGGCCTGGAGATCTCAGCCCTGTGACAAGGATCCAGGCAACGAGATTGCCGGCACCACGGGGCTGCATGGTTGGAGTGAGCCATGGTCACAACCAGCCAGGGGCCACTAGCTGGCTGTGAGTCTGTCCTCCCAGCCCCTCTCTGCTCAGCGGTGCTCCTCGCTGGCCATCCTCCAGAGAGGGGGATCCCCTCAGGAGAGGTGCATGCAGAGCAGATGCACCCCCACTTCCCTCCCTGCTAACATCTCCCACCTGACTGCAGCCAATTCAGCCTTGCCTGGACCCAGAGCTCACACCTGGAGCCACCTTGCAAGCCTGGCTCAGCGCCCCCATCTGCACTGTAGCCAACAATAGGAGCTAGAGTTAGAACCCTGGTTCCTCATCTCCAAAAGCCCAGGCCTCTACTGCTTGAGCTAATGGAGGGCTCCCTGAGGCAGCAGTAGTAGAGTCTTTATCCTCTTGGGGCAGCGATGAGGGAAACTGCTGCCTCACGGATGGCAACAGGGCTCCAGGCTGCAGCTTACTGCTCTGTGAGGAGGCGGCTGCTCGGATGGACTCAGAGCCAGCTGCAGCTTTGGCCCAGATCCCAACCCCTTTCTATTTTCAGTCAATTCTCACTTGGCCTTGATGCCCCCTGGCCTCACCCTGGAGAAGTTGCCCCATCTTAGCAGGAACCTTGTGCCATTTCCAACCCCCTTTCCAGGCCAAAGTGCTTCGGAGACAGAAGCGACCCCAACCTTCGAACTGCCTGGGGTTCAGTCACCGCTACCGGGAAACGTCTCCCCTCCCTCTCTGAGCTGCAGGGAGCTGCAAGATCCCACCATGCAGCGGGGCAGGGCAGGGGGTGGGACACCTGCCTAGTCTCCAAGTACCCTGCTGGGGGAGAGCTGCCACGGTGCAGGCTACAAAAACTACTAGAGGTGGGGGACTGGCTCCTCCGCTCCCATGCAGGGCTCCATGGAACACCCCACCAGCCACCCTCCAGGTCCCCACTCTCTGGTGCGACGCAGTGATCCAGCCGCACCTCCCGGTCTCTTCAGATGACAGTGAAGTACAGACCCATAAGCCTCGCTGGAGGGCCAGAAGCTCCTCTGCCCCCTGACATCTAGCATTCGAGACATGGCTCCCCCAGGTCCGGTTTGGGACCGTGCCCCAGTGCACTGGGCACAGCGTGGGCGAGTTAGTGATGGGGAAGCCGTCAAGAAGCAAATGTCAATCAAATCCTCCAGACTCGAGCACCGGGAAATCTTTATACACTCGTGACAACAAAGGACTCATATCGCTGGCTAGAGCTGGGGAATACTGTGGGTGCCTCATGGTACTGACCCCCAGCACCCCGGCTATACCTGTCCTGACCGCCCCACTCCTGCTCTGCTGATGCTCCTAAATCCAGGTTTGCAGAACCCCGGCTGTTCCAGTCTGGTTCCCACCAACAGCTTTGCTGGTGCCCCTCAATCAATCTTAGCCCTAAGCTCCACATACACAGAGCTCTGCCGGTTCCCCTCAATCCTGAGCCCTGACCCCCTCGCTACGCCTGGCCTGGGCTCTCCATCCTGACCTCTGCCCAGGCACCTGATTCACAGCAGCACCCCCTGCTGGGAGGGGAAAGGGGATGACCACCGGTTCCCCGGTGCGCTCTGCCGTGCAGTGAACTCAGCTCCGGGACACAGCATCTAACGTTCATTCAATGCTTTTCATATCTAGGAGAGTCCAGCTGAGGCGGCTGGGGAAGCTTGGCCCGGGGCCTTGGTAATAAATATTGACTTTGCATCTGAAGATAATGGGGCTGTTTATGCTTCTTATGCTACCGTGCCGCTGCCTCAGCATTTGTCCCCCCGCCCATTACTTATCACCCTCGCTTAGCCCTTGGGATGCTCCTGCCACTGGGCTTTCACAGCATTGATTACAGGCAACCAATTCCATTGCAAAAAAACGCACTGGGCTGGTACTGGCCCAGCCTAAATAACACCTGGTCACATTTCTAAAGCAGCTCCCATCCTGACAAAGCCGGCAGAACTTTGCAAAGTGCAGCCTCCATTAGACACCCCCCGCCCCGAGAGCTGGTTTAGACACTGGGTATCCGCTAGAACAATTTGCCCAGCAGTGACATGCAGCCACCTTTGGGGAGTGCTGCGTAAGCTGCAGAACAGCGCACAGCCATGCTGCCTGAAAGC